AAAATGTTCATAAGCAATGCTTTGCATCTATTTGCACCTACTTTACAAAATATGAACATTACATATCCCTAATTATCATTAATCACATAAAATATATAAAAAATACAGAATTTTCTTATCAACCAAAACTTGTACCTCTAAACCTTTTTAAAATCTATCTCACTAAAGCAGTTAAAAAAAAATAAAGTGAAGACAAAAAAAGGTACTCTTCCGTTTTGACGGCGCAAGCGATAAAGTCGCCAATAATGGTACAACCGATGCCAAACGGAATATTCTCGCTGGTAACCTTTTACGCTTCATTTTCAAAACAAGTCGCAGCTTTTTCTTATCAGATTGATTGTTTCTTTCAATACTGGCATATAATTACATAGAATTTTTATCAGATAGTTCAGTTTTATGTCTAAGGCCATTTTCGGTAATTAAGTCAATTAGGATGCAATCACAGCGCTTACCCGAAGCCGAAAATATAGAAAAGGTAAAGTCAAGGGTTAAATTCATCAATTCTAATGAGAATGCATTAGCGAAGTAAAGCACTGCAGTTTTACAAAATTTCTGAGTAAGCTATTCGTACGAATTAAAATATTTCTTGCATTTAAACTTGTGTTTCAAATTAAGATTTAACTTGAAATTAATGTAGATAATTACTGAGAGCATTAGATTTTTGTAGAATAGTTTGTGTGAGATGAGATCGCTTGGGGTCACGTGATATGAACCGGCGAATCAGGATGTTGAACCATGAAAGCATAGTAAATTCTTAAATTAGTGTCTTTTTATAAATGTATTGTCTTTATTTATTGGCTTTTTATAAAATTTTAAGCGATATTAAAATGTTTATGCCTTCAAAATAAAAAATCCTTAGAACTAAAATTTTTTAAATATTTTTTATGTGTATACTGTATGTTGTCACCAATAAAGTCTGCTTGGCGAGATTTGCGCCGGCGAAACGGAAAAGTACCCCAAAAAATATAATCTAAAATCTGCACAGTTCCTCAGATATCAACAGTAAAGACAACAGATGGATATACGAGGGCCATCCAGGAAGTAGATTACGTTTCCGTCTGTGTCCGCTAGGGGCGGGGCTAGCGCGGCCATCTTGGGGTCAGAGCGTTGCGCAGCTCAGTCTGCATCTAGCCGTGCTAGTGAGAGGTTCGTGCTGTGCTCCGTTCAGATACTGTGACGGTTTGAAATGTCTGCGTTAATTGAAAATCCCGCGAGCTGCGAGGTGCGCTCAGTAATAAGGTTTCTGACTGCAAAAAACTGTAAACCGATAGAAATCTAGAAATACAGAAAACACTGGCACCTCAGGTGAGATTTAAGCGGGATGTGAAATAAAAGAGAGGTGGTTTTACATATTTCGTAGGAAAGAGGCTAATTTGGGTTTGAAATACCCTTGGAATAGCCTGCGACACGAGCCAGTTTTGTTTATCTACGCTACTTTCGCCTTCCACCTCTACAAACGCCACACAAAAATCTGATCTCTCATCAGTTAGCTTTGGAATTCGGTGACGAGTACATGGCAGTGCGAGTAAAAATTAGTGAGTTTGGCTCATTTGTTGCACTGCATGGAATTCAGCAACTCCAAGGATGAATGTAAATTATTTTCATTACACACAATTCTCAAAAGTATCAGATTCTTTGGTGCCAAAAAAAAAAAAATAAAGAAATAGGATAGTGAAACTGAGCTGACACTTAATAAAATGTTTGAGAAAGTTTCTGTATTAATGATTTATAATTTAAATTTTTACAATTTATTATTCTTCAAATCATTATAGTAACAATGGTACTATTTAAAAATTTATCAATTTATTATTCTTCAAATCATTATAGTAACAATGGTACTATTTAAAAATTTATCAATTTATTATTCTTCAAATCATTATAGTAACAATGGTACTATTTAAAAATTTATAGAATTCGTTGCAGTAATTTATGATAATGTGTGTACAGCCCCAATTATGGCTGACAAAAGTTATTTTGGAGTTTGTTCAAAGCTAAAAAAATATCATTGATGCAGATTCTGGTGATGAAAATAAAATGAATAATGCAAAAATATCTGTTCCCACGTCATCCGAAATGAGGAACATCATAAAAAGTATGGACAGTTATTCAGACACACATTCCAATGGTGAAATGAATAACAAAATGTTTGACATTGAACAATTAGATGCTAAAAAAAAAAGACAATGCAAAGAAAAATATCAGATTATTTTCCCCGAAACTCAATAAATGTTTTGTTTTTCAAAAAACTTGAAAATTTTGTATTAAATTCTATCAAGTTCTTGTGGATGTTTTTGTTTCATTGATTTTTATTAAATACATGCATATACACATATCTATGTAAATAAAATGTACTCTAATAAGCTTAATTTTGTTGACCATATATATATATATATATATATATATTAATATTCTTTAACATGAAAAAATATTTCAGTCCCTTCAGTTTTGTGTTAAATGATTTTCACTGTATATCTATTGCACATAAATCCCTTTTCTTATATAAAATATAAATGTATGTATAAAATACCTAAATAAATTGTAAAGGAAGTTTAATTAGCAACTATGAAATCTTAAAAAAAAGTAGTATAAAAATTTATAATGGCAAACATTAAAATAGATAAAAGTAAATAAAATTTAAATTATAGAATGTACTTTATAAAATTAATAACAAGTGGTTAAAAATATATATTTTAATTGCTTAAAATATGGAAGTTATTAGGCAGAGATTGTTGGATATACCGTTACGGTACTTTTCCGTTTCGCCGGCGCAGATCTCGTCAAGCAGACTTTATTGGCGAACAACATACAGTATACACATAAAAAATATTTAAAAAAAAAATGTTAGTTTTAAGAATTCTTTTTTTAAAGGCATAAACATTTTAATATCGCTTAAAATTTTATAAAAAACCGATAAATAAAGACAATAAATTTGTAAAAAGACATTAATTTAAAAATTTACTATGCTTTCATGGTTCAGCATCCTGATTCGCCGGTTCATATCACGTGACCCCAAGCGATCTCATCTCATGTAAACTACTCTCTACAAAAATCTAATGCTCTCAGTAATTATTTACATTAATTTCAAGTTAAATCTTAATTTGGAACACAAGTTTAAATGCAAGAAATATTTCAATTCATACGAATAGCTTACTCAGAAATTATGTAAAACTGCAGTGCTTTACTTCGCTAATGCATTCTCATTAGAATTGATGAATTTAACTCTTGACTTTACCTTTTCTACGAGGGCCATCCAGGAAGTAGATTACGTTTCCGTCTGTGTCCGCTAGGGGCGGGGCTAGCGCGGCCATCTTGGGGTCAGAGCGTTGCGCAGCTCAGTCTGCATCTAGCCGTGCTAGTGAGAGTTTCGTGCTGTGCTCCGTTCAGATACTGTGACGGTTTGAAATGTCTGCGTTAATTGAAAATCCCGCGAGCTGCGAGGTGCGCTCAGTAATAAGGTTTCTGACTGCAAAAAACTGTAAACCGATAGAAATCTATCGGCAGCTTCGTGAAGTGTATGGGGACAACATTATCACTGAAGGTGGAGTGCGTCAGTGGGTCATAAGATTTCAAAATGGCCGAACCAATGTTCACGACGAAGATCGAAGTGGGAGACCCAGCATAGTGACCGCCGAACTTCTCGAAAAAGTCGATGCTAAAGTCCGTGAAAATCGAAATTTCACAATAACGGAACTTTCTTTGAGTTTTCCACAAATTTCGCGAAGTTTGTTGCACGAAATCATCAGCGAAAAGCTTGGTTACCACAAGTTTTGTGCAAGATGGATTCCAAAAATCTTGACAGAGGACCACAAAAATCAGCGAATGGCTGCAGCGTTGAACTTTTTGGACGCTTACCATAAGGATGGTGACTCTTTACTCGATCGCATCGTTACTGGTGACGAAACATGGGTGAAACATGTGAACTGTGAAACGAAATTGCAATCAATGCAGTGGGGGCACACAAGTTCTCCCCAAAAACCCAAGAAATGCATGCAAACAATGTCGGCAAGGAAGATGATGGGGTTTTTTGGGACAGAAAAGGTGTAATTTTGGTGGACTTCCTGGAAAGAGGCACTACAATAAACTCTCAAAGGTATTGCCAAACTCTCCAAAAACTCAGAAGAGCAATTCAAAACAAGCGCAGAGGAATGTTGAGCTCTAAGATCTTGTTGATTCACGACAACGCCCGGCCCCACACGGCAAATGTCACTCGTAAAGTTCTTGAATCTTTTAAGTGGGAGTTGTTTCCTCATCCGCCGTACAGTCCCGACCTGGCACCGAGCGACTTCCTTCCACCTATTCCCAGCAATGAAGAAGTGGCTGGCTATGCAGCGTTTTGATGACGACGCACACAGCTGCAAGAAGAGGTAACGAAGTGGTTGAAGGCGCAGGCGGCCGAATTTTTCGACGAAGGAATTTCCAAGCTCGTACATCGCTACGATAAATGCCTTAATTTGTATGGTGACTATGTAGAAAAGTAGTATTTGAGTGTGGCTTTCATCTGTATATAATAAAATTTGTTTCCTATACTTTGTTTATTTTTTTATTCCAAAACGTAATCTACTTTCTGGATAGCCCTCGTATTTACTACATTTATTAATGTTTGAATATTTCTCTCCTCCTCTTTATATGATTTATACACTCAAAACAAATGTTCAGCTATTTTGAAGGAACTTTTTTATGGTATTCATGGCATTGTTTTAGTTTTAAATTACATAAATTTGGAATTTAATAATTATTTTGCTTGAGATATAAGCTTGAGGCACATTTTAAATGTGTATATCAAAATGCAATGATTTACTTTAAAAGCAATATAATGCCTATCATATTTCATACTGATACTTATAGAAAAATATAATGTTTATCCTATTCTCTACCATATTATTTTACATTTGTTTTTAGGAATGGTAAAAATAATACTGAAATAAAATCATATAGCTGAATACTGCAATTTAAAATATACATATCTGTAAAATTTATACGAAAAAAATTGAAAAATATACCTTCTCATCTTTTGGCTCTTCACAATTAGAAGCAAGAGGACTTGTATTTGATTTATTATCGCTTAAGGAAACAGACTTGATGCTTCCAACACTCTGAGGTGTAGCTAATACATATCTAGAAAAAATGCAGTTAGGTTCCAATGTTTCGTATTCAAAAATATTCTTTAATCGCTTTTGATGAATGTTCAAAAATACTGCTGCTGCTGTGCCCTATTAGAAAAATTATTTATTACAAACACTGTATAGCAGTTAGTTACATCAGATCAAAATTTTAAATAAAACTAATAAAATTCAATAATGCATTAAGAAATATTTTGCTTATAAAAAAATAACAAATATATTGTTAATAACAAATATATTGCTATTTATATATTGCTTAAAAAACAAACTTGAAAGTCATAATACATGTTAGCTTTTAAGATAAAATAATCAATAAATTAAAACTAAATTATATAAAAGATGACATTGCTGTCAAAATACTACAAATTAATTTTTTATTTCTTCTGACAGAGCGCAGTTACTTTTTTTTTAATCACAACTCTTTCATATCTACCAACAGAAAGTTTGTTTTGTATTCATTTTTAAAATAGTCTTATTTGCAAAGACAAATAAGCCTCAGCTTGTGAAGACAACACTTGTGAGTCTTAAGCTGAAAAGTCAAACAAGAGTCACCTTATTACACAATTTAAATGTTTTAAGTTTACTGCATACAGTATTGGATCCTTAATCTGCACAGGATCACTCACTTTACAAACCTAAAGCATACTCTTTAAAATTTTAAGTACGTTCTAGAAAATTTTATTACTGAAATTATCATCATACTACTTTTGAGTATTTTTTAAGCCTATTGTTGGATTTGTTTGTGCCATTTACAAGGCTGCTTTGGTCAACGAATAAAGGTGATGAGAAGATGAGTTTTAAAGTGATAGAACACAATTTTAGGACCTTTTAGATCTACTGGTTTCCAGATTCCATTAAGATAATGGCAAATGATTTCACAAGTAAATAAAAGAAAACCTTGCAGATAAAAGTAAATAAGATCTACTTATAAAAAAGTTGCCAAGGCAGCTTTTGCAAACCATCATGAAATTTCACAGCTTTCCTTGAACAAAACTTCAGCTGCAGAATTTTTGACTGCAGATGATAGCACATGAAAACATGTTTAATTATTTGCAATCACTTAAGAAAAAAGCAGAAAACTTCTGATATAGATATGAATACACTAAGAGCGAGAATATCATACTTTCCAGTCTTATTCTACTAGAAAATAAAAAAGCACTGCAATGGTTAAAATTAAGAGGACCTAAACAATTAAGAGGATTTTACTGCTAACAAGGGATGAATCCAAAAAATTTCAGCTGAGGCATAACTTTTCATTATAAAATGTTAATTTTAAAAAAACTGCTGTAGTGTACCATTTTTTAGAAGATGTTTCTAGTGATTCAGGCCATGTAACATATTCAACACTGAAGATCACTCTAATAGATAAAAGGTTAATAATAAATAAACTGAAATTTTATGAAGGGAAGCCACCAAATTGCTGTCTGTCCAATATGAAGCTAAACAATTAACAAAAAATTTAAAATACAAAAATTCAGATGATAACTAAAATTTTCAGCAAGAACTAAAATTTTAATATTTAGATGATTCTGCCAGTAACACTTTTTTGTAGTTATACTATTAAGAATATATATATATAATTGTGCAAGTAGTAGTAACTTGTTTTCGCACTAAATGAATTTAAGATCATACAACATTTATATATATATATATACATTAATGCACGGAATTTTTATATTGATGAACAATATGCAAATGAAAGAATTTTATGACAATATAAAAAACTTAAAAAACAAAACAAAAAAGCTACTCTTCAACTAACATTGGTTCAATAGCAAAACTCTGTACATCATGAGGGAGACTGACACTGAGGTCTTCAAGCAAGAAGAATCTTCTTTGTCTTAGGCTGGAAATACAATGAGAATTTTCTCTAGACTACACAGCATTTTTGTTTTTTAAAGAAGAGGTTCCAAATACCTCCCCCCCCCAAATGCTAAGAATTTTACTACAAAACCAATGTTAACATAAAGCTGAATTTTACCTTGAAAATGATAGAATAAATCATTTATTTAAAAATGAAAAAAAGTTATTTTAGTAATAAACTTCCTTTTAATCTTAAATGCCTAATTTTGTTTCTTCAATTTCTAAGCGACGGAGAGGGAAAAAAGAAAAGAAAAAGGAAGGGGGGAAAAAACTAAGCTAATTCTCATACCAAAAAACCAGCTGTTTCAAGTACTGATGATCCAAAAATATTGCATCGAAACTGTAAGTCATCCCAAAATTTTTCATCTTGATTATTGGCATGCTGTTTTCTCTTGAAACGATCATCAGAATGACTAACATACGAAAAGTAATCCTCAGTAATTTACAAAAGTACCACAACTGCATCATATACATTAAAAACAAACAGAAAAACTCATAAAGATGCAACATTAAATAATCTAATGGAGTATTACAAACTAGGGGTACATTATAATATTTCAACTTGAGATTTTGGTACATACTAGGTAGTGATATAAACTGCATTTATTTTACAGTACTTACATATGATCACAACCACCCTGGTGCAGTTTGGAAAATTTTATGCAAGAAAAAGTACAATTATTTTTATTGTAAAAAACATTATACATTACATACATATTTTACATTTCATCTATATATTTATTCCAAAAAATAATCAGTAACCCTAATTACTTTTTTTTTTTTTTTTTTTTTTTCTGTGTGTGTGTGTGAAAATTTCACAATGATTACTTTGACAAAGGATTAGAAACATTGTTCTTTTAGCAATTTTCCAGCAAAATACTGTATTCCCGCAGAAATTTCACCTCTGTTTCTTCTATTATATGAAAATCTCACAAGCTCAAATTTTAAAAACAAGTTTAAGTTAAACAAATAATTACTTTTCTAAAAAAGCCATTGGAACATGAAATACAATAAAAAGAATACAAAAATGGTAACATTGAAAACTGAATATCTGTCATGCATATGGTTGTCTGAAAAACTGTTACTCCTATGTTTACCAGAGTCTAGCATATTCTGAAACTCTGGTGATTGCGATAATATGCAAGTACATAATTTTCAATAATCTGAAAAGATAATATGAAGAATATAATACAGAGGACAGTTTTCCATGTGTTAAAATAGAAAAGGAAAGCTATCTTTGATATGCAGAGTACAATAAATTGCATATTATATGGAGTGAGAACATTTCTGCCTGATAGAAATATTATTTAAAATAAATGCTGGAAAATTACACTTTATATACTATTCATACAAAAATATATTTTTAATTTACATAGTAAAATTTTGTTAGGTACAAATTGCTGCCAGCCTTAAAAGATGAAAAATCAAGATTTTTGCAGATTGCAAATTAGATTTCAAAGCCATTTTACAGTGCATAATTTGGATTATTAAAGCAGTTTTAACTTTGAAGCAAAAAATACAAAATTAAAATAAGAAATTTTAAAAATAATTATGCTTTGTTTATCATTTATTTTATTTAAATTGTAATTTCCTTAAAATTTCATACCAGTTAATCTAGTTAGGATCCCTCCCAAAAAAATTCTTCGACAAATTTTTATAATGGATTGGATTTAAATAATTCATATGGAATAAAAACTATACAGAAAATCACATAAAGGGAATAATATTTTACAATTTAAGTTTTATTGAGAGATGACAATATTGCTGCCTTTGCCTTTTTAGTTCTCTTCTGTTATCAGGTCCAGATTTTAAAATGTAATTATGTATGCATATATATATAGATGTACGTATTCACATATGTACATACATATGTATATACACACACACATATGCACATACACACATGCATAGATACCTACATTTCCTAATCTGTCCTGATAACAAGAGTACCTTTTTTTTTTTTTTTAGAATTTATCATCAAAACTTTAACAGCATTTCTTTTCCCTTTGACAATCAGTGATCAATAGTTTTTATAAAACCAAATCTGAAGATGATTTAAATTCAAATAAATATAGAAAGAATGATGAAAAATTACGAGTCTCTCAGTTTTACCTAGAGGTTTAGCACCTCTGAAAACGGAAAGCATTCTGGTAAATAGTTACAATTTAAAAAAAAAAAAAATTCAGCATGATTCCTATTTTTACCTTGAATTATTACATTGTATATCATTTCACTAATGTTACAACAACTTTTAACAGGAAAGGTTATCATTTCTATCTTTAAATTTGAAATAACACATTTCCGAGTCTAATACAGTCAAAAGTCGTTAATCCGGACTCGTCGGGACTTCGGCGATTCCCGATTATCGATTTTTAAAGATTATAAATCATCAGTTTAAATCTGGTAAGATGGCATGCAGAAATTATAAAATTCAAAATATGAAACTGTAATTTATGAAATAAAGAACAATTATGACTAAAAGGTATCAAAAATGTTTTAAAAAAGCTTAATATTTATTTGTTTACTTTATTAAACATTTCTTTCAATGTAAGTTGTTTAAGTTGCTTCGTTTTATGTGATAATACTTTCTCTTTAATTCTATATACAGACATAATTTCTTGTTCAGTTACAAAGTCCTATAATTGCTGTATCGAGAATACCGACTAATTTGTCAATCGAAATTTTTCGTTTTCAATAACCTGTGTCACTTTCTTCACTATCGGAAGCAAATTATAATGACGAGGAATTTGATTTAAATCATATCAAAGACGGAATACATCGATATGAAATACTACATTTAGTTAGGAATTATAAGCCAAATAAAATAAAAACATCTGCCCTGAAGATAAGGATAGTGCTGACAGATCAACTTCCAATTCATTGCACGCCACGGCGTTTCCAGCCTTCCCGCCCGCAGAGCAGCGTGAAATTGATAAACAGATTTCGGAATGGTTAGGTCATTTTTTGCAGCAATTCCACTTTTGTTTAATGGACTTTGAAACATACTTTTGCTTTATAGATCCTTTACATATTAGTAAATATACATCGGAAATTCTATTTGACATAATCGAAAGTTCAAGCTTACTTTTATAAAATTGCTCTAACAGTCTGCAAAAAATAATAAGCCGTATCCAATTCGAAGATTAAAAAGCAACGCAATCTGCAACATTAACTCAATTAGATAATTTTAGCTTATACCGTCCGTTATACATTAAACACGCATGCGTAAACGTATTTTGCGCACTTGCATATTCGCAGCCGTAAAGGTCTTACACAGAAAGTTTGTAGCTTTGAGGTCCGGATTATGGGTGTCCAAATTAACGACTTTTGATTGTATACTACTTATTCATACAGAGGGTGGTCACACATTTTTGTAACAATTTTGAAAAGATTTATATATAAACAAACCTTAGAATTTTATTTTCTAATATGTTCAGTCTCATAGTCCTTTTGTTGAACTATCATATTACATCTTGATTTCCAAGATAAAAGTCCTTTTCTTAATATCAAGGTTGATTTTATTCGAATCCTCATTCACAATCTTCCACAGTCCATCCAATGTTTTGGGATGCCGCTTATAGAGCTTGTTTCAAAAGTCGAAATGCACGGTAATCCATAGGAGACAAATCAGGGACTTGGGTGGGATGAATTTAAAGCGTATAGCTTCAATTCTGGTTTCATTTCTCATTTTTTCAAAAAATAGAGCAGTAGATTTAGGATGGTGCATTATATTGATGGAACTTGGATAATGAGATGAAATTTCTTCTTTGAAAATAGATGTTAAAACATATTGCTGATAGTAATCCAAATTAATTTTGACATTTTTTTCTACTTTCCTTATTTTAAGTTTTCCGCTATAAGAGACTCCAGTAATAATCATAAAACCTTTAGAAAAACTTTCTTTTCTCCTCTTTTTTGGTAGTAAATCGATCTTTTTCTATTTGCAATCAGATAAATACATCCAAGCCTCATCAATTGTAACTATATATTTCCATTTTTAATTTGCCAAATAATTCTATACAGCAATTTGCACACAGTCTTATGCTGAGAAACATGTTTTGGCATTAGTCAATGAACATCACTTTTTTTTGGGGGGATAAGCTTTAAATCAGATTTTATAATTTTGTTCGAAGTTCCTACAAAGATATTTAAAGATTTTTCAATAGCTCTTTGGGAAGCTGGATTTTCCTTTAAAACATGAGATATGACTTAAGATTTAATAACAGCTGAATGTACCTTTGTTGGGTATGCATTTTTTTGCCTTTTTCCATTTAGATGTAAACTTTGACATTTCTTTCCTTTCATATTAATTATGTCACTTATTTTACATGTAGAAACACTAAAACCATGCTTTTCACATCTTTTTGTAAAAAGATGAATAAGATAATTGAATAAGAGTATTTCTCTTTTGGACAGAGTAAAAATATAGCCTTCAATGAAATGTTTATTTTTCAGCGACATTTTAAAGAAAAGATGATAATTAAACCTTATTCTAATTTGATGCCAGTCAAGTTTGTATTTTAAAATTAATATTTAAATTCAATTATTAAAAATTAATGTCATTATAAAAATGTGTGAACACCCTCTGTATACACTATAATCATTTTCAACTCCATTATTAATATCCCTTCATTTATACATAGATACACAAAAAATAAATAATTTTACATTAGCCTGAAACAAACTTACTTATTAATCTTACTGCAATCTAGATATTACATAAATTAATATTTTAAAAATATTGCATCATGCAGTAAGAGTGCAACAAACATGAATTTATTTGTACATAAGCTCACATCAACCATAATTAATGACGTGAAAAAGAATGGTGATGTTATATGCCAGAAGACACAGGACTGAATACAAAGAGTTAATTCTATGGCAACATTTTTAATCAGTTATAAAAATTTTTTATTAATTTTATCCAAAAAATAATAATCCCAAACCTAAATTTATGCAGATCAAAACATTAAGAGGCTTAACATTTTAACTTACTTTTTCTGATGAGTTGATAGAGATAAAACTAGTATCTTAGGAGATGCTGTGTTAGCATTTTTATTTTCTACAGGTTTCTGCTTGTGTACATGCCATCTAGGGAAAACTTAAGACAAAAAGAAATTATTAACAGTAAAATTTGTACAGAATATTTTTATTTTGAAAACTAAAGCTCAGAATTAATTCATAGAATTTTTCATTACAACATGTAAAACACAATCAACTTCTGAGATTAGAAAAAAAAAAAGAAAAAAAAAAAAAAAAGATAAACAACGACATATTAACGAGAGAAAAACTGGTAAGTAATCAAGCCAAGGAATTCACAAATGTATGCCTGTATATTTGTATATGTTCATGTATGAATGCATATATACATGTATGTATGCACACATACATATATTTCTCAATTCAATCTCAATAACAGAAGAATACTGAAAAATGTTCTACAACATTTACTAGACTTTGTTAATCTATGTTAATCTTAGTTTAGGGTATAAGGTTGGTTTTTGTGATTGTTGGAAAAATTTTTACAATACTGGCAATAAGCTTTGTAGGTACTTTTCCATTATACACCTGTCACGCTTTTTGGCACCTGTGAAAGAAAAGGCAAATACATCCCAAGATCTAGCAATAGCAACATCTGGAAACTCTGTAGATATATATGTGCGTGTCTAAACAAGTATAATTAAACACATACATATTATTAAAACAATACCATCAAAATGCATGGCAGGATGTGGATGTTATCTATAACATCACAGTGGATTCAGGGATGTAAAAAATTACATAGTGACTTGCTTACAAATAAAAAATTTTGTAAGTACTAAAGGACTCTGTTACAGTATTAAAATTAAAAATAATACGAAATTTACAATAAATTAGAATTTTACCATATTTTACTTTATTTGATTTTTATGTGAATTCTTTCAGAATACCTTTATTATCCAAAATTAGATTATCTTTTCAGCATAAATATTTACTCAGCTGTAAAAAAAAATTATTTTGAAAATGTCATGATTCTTAAGCTAATATTTCTCCAACACCGATAAAATAGCTCTCTGAAGGCAAGAAAATATATTTTATTTACACCATCTGGTAAACTATCTTGAGAAGTACAGTGATAGGCAGATGCAATGGATGATGTGTTCTCATCATTATTTGAAATTCTTTCAGGATACAGTAGTTTTAATTCTGAATGCATGCATTGATGGATTAAAGTGACTCTTTTCAGATTATAAAATGTACTAAACCTTTTTATTTGAAATCAATTCCAAATAAAATCAGAATATTATCAAGGCGTGAATCATTTAATCTAGTCTTCCAAAATTTGTAAATAATAAACAAAACATTTTCATATTTCTCAGTTTTTCATAAAATTAAAGCTAATCTCATACTAATTCTTCCTTTACATTTCCAGATCACACCTCTTATATGCATGCCATTTCTATGTAATTTTAAACACCAAACTGATATGCTTCACTTCTATACATGAAATCAAATTACTCATTTTGACACACACAAATTAATATTCACATATCATATTAAGATGAAACAATGAAAAGTTTAAAATTGTGTTGCTAAGCTAAAATTTTTGCTTATAGAATTTAAAGTATTTTTTAATTTCAGAGAAAGAAAATTTTAAAATTTGCATTTGTCAGATATTCAAAATGTTTAATAAATCAGTTATAGTTCTAACTAAAGTATGTGCAAAAGTCCCCACCTAGCATTAATTTGTAAGCAAAAATCAGAATAGAAGACTTGACCAATAGATCACACAACAGATTACAGTTTAACAACTCTAAAACAAATTTACCACTTAAAATGTTTAAAAAAATTAATTAAATAAATAAATTAATTAAAAATTAAAATAGAACTGTAAAATTCTTTTTAAAAACTCTACAATGTGGCCTTTAAATTTCAGTTTAATTCTAAAATATTTTTAAACTGAAGTTATGACAGTCTAAGTAGAAATTTCCAATACAGAACATAAAATTGTACATTTAACAGGGTTCGTACACATTTCCTTACATGAAAATTAAGGACTTTTAAGGACCATCAAAGAAAAAAAAAAAGCAAACAAAAAGAATAAAGCAATTATCCATACAACCGACTTCATGCTTGTAATTTCACTTTAAGAAACTAACAGAAGTGTGTATTATGCACTATTATTAAATTCACTTTAATACTTACCATAAAACAATTTTGAAAATTAAACTAACTCCCTACAAGTTATGAAGTAGATAACATTAAATTAGGAACATAATTTCTTGAAAAACATGTATAAGTGTATTTTACACTAATAACAGTCACTATTTTAGAGATTTACATGATTATTATTTAACTTATTTGATATTTATTTAAACACAGTCAACTACTATTATAATCACAATGTAAGAATATTTTGCAGATTAAAATAACTGATTTGTAAACATACAATTTATTTCCTTGGTTTTTTGAAAGATACTAGAATAATAAACTGTACAATAAAAGATACAAAACATTTGTGCTTTTTTTAAATCTGAAATCTTTTCAGCTATTTTAACATTTAATTTATTTATGTCTATTTCCTTTTCTTTAACTATTCTTCTAAGTTCATTTGCTTTGATAAACAAATCAATGTTCCTGCTGGTCTCAGCTTCATCTGCTAAAGCATCTACTTCTTCATTAATATCTTTAATGTCCCTTTGAAGAAATTTTTTTCTTCTGCTTCATATAATCAATTTCTTCCTCAATAATATTTCTTTTCCTCTTTGAATTTTCAGATTTAGTTAAAGATTTTTGTTCTTCTAAATACTGCATATTCTAAATAACGACTCCACTTCTTGCAGAAGCTGCTGCTGATCTCATTTCTTTATTAATTTCGATATTAAGAACACCTCCAGAAAATTTTATGTAATCAAATACTGTGCGTTGAAAAATGTATGATGAGTCACTTAAATTTCAATTTCTTTATTTACAGAGAAGCCCCTTTCCACAGAAGCCTGTCCATGTGACAAGATAAGAATCATTTTCACTATTTTCCATATTTTGAAAATCATGAAAATAAGAAGTGAGAAATGTGTCAAGAGAAAGATTTTGAGGATCAAAAGTAGAAAATTCATGTAAATTTGTCTTAACTACTTTGTCTAGAAACTCTCCAAACTGCAGCAGAATTTCATCAAAATCATCTTGTAGAACACGTTTATTCTGCATTAATACCGTTAGAACTATTTTCATTTTGTTCTGGGCTTTTTCTGGACTTTTAACCATCAATCGCGAGTCTATACAAGATGCATTTCAAATAAGAGAATAATTTATTGGACATTTAGACATTAAGTGTTGTACCATTGTTAAGACACATTGTTGACCTTCTTGTTTCAATGCAAAACTTTCAGCTTGTGAAATGTCCTTCTTGCGGCATTTATCATTCATTAGCTGCTCAGCAATGAATCCCAAATAAACTTTACTTTTATCATTATAACAATTTGGATCATTAAAATTAAATTTATAAAGATTTTCCGCTTTACTTATTTTTGAATATTCAAAATTTTTGAATATTCAAAAAAAAAAGTTTCAAAATTTTAAAGTGCTGAAGGCAATCATTTACAAGTTTTAAGATATCTTCAGCAAAAAAAGGGAATAAGTGGTTTATCACTTTGATAATATTCAAGAAAAGGCAATAATATTTTCGACAGAGAGAGAAAAAAATTTAATTTTATAAGAAATGTTTTATCTTTAGTTGCCTCCAAAATATTTGAGAAGGATTTCGATGAATTTTTTTTAAACTTCCCCATTTCAACTTTTTTAATGTACAGTAGCAAGTCATCCCATATTTCAATGGCTCTTTCAACTGCTGGGACATTTTGCAACCATCGGTAAAAGCAGAACTTCACAGGAAGCTTTTTTAAGCCAGATATACTTAAAAAATCTTCACGTCTTGCAGGAGAATCTTTAAAAATCCAATATAAGGAGGATAAGAATGATGGAAATGTCCCAGCCAGTGGATGACATCCCATGCTTGAAAGCATTGTTAAGAATGTGTAAACCACATGTCCCTAATGTCAAGCATTGAATGTTATATTCCTTTGTCAAGTCCTGTTGCAATAAATCATAAAAATTTCCAGTTTACTGCAGGACCATCCATCGATATTTGTAAGAGTTTTGACAAGTCTAGTTTTTCAACACATTCATAAAATTTGGATAAAATAATTTCACTTGTTGCATGCCCTATAAATGCAGAAGTAAGGTACTGAGTTCTGACCTTATTTTCGTGATGCCAGTACCTCACATAATATCTAGTTGCTTCTTTTGATTTGTCAGATTAAGAGTCTCATCAAATAGTAATGTAAAAAACTCAGCATTTTTACAATGCTTTAGTAACAAAGTTTTTAAAATAAGGGCCAAGACCAAAATAACAGATATAAGCACATTTCTTTTCACCACATGAAAACTAGTTTTGCAATGGAACTATCCGGGAACATTTTAGTGGAATAACGGCCCAATATCATCGCACGATTTAAAAGAATAGTGGCTTTAGATGCACTTAAAAGTCCACAATATTTCTGCATCTGTAACTTCAGATTTGAAAAGAAAAAAATTGATTTTATTATTTTCTACACTTATTGATGTTGAATTAGCAGTTACATCTTTTCCTGAAGTAGATGGTTCTTCTAACTTGACAAAATTCATGATACTGTTAGAAGAAACTCTGCAGTTGAGAAGGGAAAGATGTTTTGCAGCTAAAAGGGGCATTCCATGCAAGGCATTAGTAAAATTAAGTATCGCATATATATGTATATATGTAATCTAATATATATATATATATAGTAAAAAATGTCTATTTTCAGTTTCTTCTATAATGTATCTTTCTTATGATACATATATTACATTTTTACTATATATATATATATACAGCATATAATACAATACAATGACCTTTGGATAACATTGCGCAATATCTGCAATATAAGTAAATTAGAAATTGTAGTAAGCTCGCCTAAAAGTTACCAGGCCTCCAAAAGTTCAACTTTTAATACATTCCAAAATGAACAAGTAAAACATTGAATAAAAAGTAAGCGGAATGGTAATAGCCGATTCGACTTTCAAACTGGGCTCTTCAAGGGAAAT